TATAAAAATTCATATCATGATTAGTAGAGGCTGATCTTTGATCGGGCGAGCGGTGGTGCTCAATTCATGACCTTCCCCAATTGTACCTAAGTTCCTAAGCCGATGCAACTTTGGTGATGACGGACACGTGGCCTTTGGCATGAGTCATGGGTTTTCTAAATTTTTTCAAAAATAAAATATTTATATGGCGACTCTGTAATCTGGCAAAGCAGTCCAATTTTGGCATTATTTGATTTAAACTTGATTTTTCAAAAAGATTTGCTGGATTTGGACTCTTTGGTGATTATCAATTTCACATTGCACTTGTGAGAGTAGATTCAGAACCACGGGAGTCCGAATTGTGAGCCCTTTTCATTTCAAACCTTCCGAAAGGGGGTGCGAAAAAAAAGCAAGTCCACATGTAGCTTGTATCGCCATCCGAGAATGGGATATGTTGGGCACTTTTAATGAGTTTAACGTGCACCCAGGCGTGTATGTTGAGTCAGCAGCCCAGTTTTCAGTAGTTGCTCAACCTACACTTGTGAACCGAGTATTAGAAGTGCAAAGGGGTAACCTTGAGGTGGAATCTCTCTGGGAGAGGATCTCTAATGGGAAGGTAGAGAAAGGTTTGAATGTGTATCCCGACTAGAGTGTGAGATACCGTGGCCGTTTGTTCGTGCCGGAGTCTTGCCGAGAGGAGGTACTCCAAGAGTTTCACTATTCTCACCTTGCGGTGCATCTGAGAGGCACAAAAATGTATCACGACCTTAGTCGCCAGTTTTGGTGGAGAGGTATAAAGAAGGATGTAGCCGTGTTTGTATTGAAATGCCTTACTTGTCAACAAGTGAGTGCCGTGCATCAGAGACTAGCGGGTTTGTTGCAACCATTGCCTATAGCCAAGTGGAAATGGGAGCATGTCACGATGGATTTTGTTGTGGGCCTCCCGAGGACTCAACGGGGTAGTGATTCCATTTGGGTAGTAGTTGATCGGTTGACCAAGTCGACGCACTTTATAGCTATGAGTGTGAATGATTCGGTAGACTATCTAGCCGGTCTGTACTTTAGGGACATAGTGAGGTTGTATGAAATCTCTATAACGATTGTTTCGAATAGAGATCCACGTTTCATAGCTCGATTATGGCAGAGTTTGCAGAGCGCCTTGGGCACTAGATTGACCTTTAGTACTGCGTATCACCCTCAGACTGACGGGCAGTCCGAGCGTACCATTCAGATTCTTAAGGATATGTTTTGAGGCTGTGTCCTTGATTTTAAAGGGTCATGGGAGAGACACTTGCCCTTAGTGGAGTTTGCCTATAATAACAGTTTCTAGTCAAGTGTTGGCATGGCACCATTTGAAGCCTTGTATGGCCGACCATGTAGATGTCCGGTATATTGGGCTGAGGTGGGAGATGCACCTTTATTGGGCCCAGACTTGGTTCAAGAAACCACGGAGAAGGTGACACTTATTCGTAAAAGGTTGGTTACGACCCAGAGTTGCCAGAAAAGTTATGCCGACCGTAGGAGAAGACACTTGTCTTTTGAGATGGAAGACCATGTGTTCTTGAAAATATCACCTAGATGGGGTTTGATAAGATTTGGGAAGAGTGGGAAGTTTTCCCTTCAGTTTATTGGTTCTTTTGAGTTCCTTGAGCGGATTGGGGAGGTCGCTTACCGTTTGGCGTTACCGCCACAACTTTTCGGGATCCATGACGTGTTTCATATTAGTGTGCTTTGGAAGTATGAGCCGGATCCATCGCACGTGTTGGATTGGACTAACTTGGAGGTAGATGAGGATGCCTCGTACGAGGAGAGACTGGTGAGAGTCTTGGATAGATGGGATCAAGTTTTGTAAGACAAGACGATTCCCTTGGTTAAGGTATTGTGGAAACACCACAGAGTTAAGGAAGCAACTTAGGAGCGTGCATTGGAAGTCCGAGAGAAATATCCAGACTTATTTGTTGATGTTTAAATTTTATATTGAGATTTTCATTATGTGAACGAAATGTAAAGAAATTGTATATGTTATGGGTATTTTGGAAACATGGATTTTGTATAAACATTGCACATGTTTTGAGAATATGGAATATTGATGATGTTTTATTATTCTTGGAAGCATTCTATATGCTGTGTAAATTTTAAAAACTCAGATTTTGATTAAACATTGTAAATGTTTTGGGAAATTGTAAATTTCATTTTAGATTGGGACTTGTGTATCTAGTCGATGAGAATGGATGACCGGGGAATGGGTCATGGTATTAAATTTGTGAGAGTAACATTGTTATGAATAGTCTAATGTTAATTTTGAATTTGGTTTGTAATTTCGGGGACAAAATTCTTTAAGAGGGGAAGGTCATAGCAATTCCTGTTTTGACCCGTCACTTGTTGTATTCGGGTTTGTATGGTTTTAAATGGTGATTCATATCTTGTTTCTCTTGTCTCCCCTATATTTTGGTTATTAAGTTGTAGTTGTGTGTTTCGAACAAGTTGGTTGCTTCTTATTTTTTTTCCAAACCTTGTTGCCTAGATTTTTGCTTCTTCGCTTAAGCGGTTGTTCTTGCGCTCGAGCGGGCTATGTAAATTTTGGTCATCTGCTCGAGCGGCCTTTTTGGCGCTCGAGCGGGATTTGCAAACTCTCAGTATCTTACACGTCTGCAAAAGTACTGGAGGGGTGTTTTTAACGCTCAAGCGGTGTTTCCTACGCTCAAGCGGGTAGGCGCTATAGTGGCCTTTCTTGAGCTCGAGCGGTTTGTTTGTCGTCTGCAGAAGTACTGGATGTGTGTATCCTATGCTCGAGCGGGCCATTTCTTGCGCTCGAGCGGAACAAATTATTGTGTCTGACGTTCAAGCGTCAACTTCTCCGCTCGAGCGGACTGTGCGTATATCAGATCGCGAAAGTGACATTTTATCACTTTTTCATTCATCTCTCTCTCTGAAACTTTCCAAAAACCTAAATCTTGACCCTCTCTCTCTAAAATACTCTCTCTCTCTCTCTCTCTCTCTCTTTACATTTTGACCTAGATCCTTTGGGTTCTCTACCCTAGTGCCTTTGTTAAAAAGCTAGAACATCTCAAGATCTACACTTTGATCCGAATAGAGTTGGATTTCGGCATCTTTGAGGTTTCTCCCTTGCCTTGCTTGGTCTTCTCTTGAGATAGGGATTTTCTACATTTTAATATGATTTTTAACTTAGTTATTTTGTTAATGTGTAACAATGGTAGAATTTGGGGGTAATATGATCAAACTTAGGGTCTAGGTATAAAATGGAATGAGGTGTTTTGGTATATGAGAAGGAAATGATTGTAAGATTTGAAAATGATGTTGTATGATGTCAAAATTGTTGATTTTGGTACTTGGTTGATATTTGGAAAAAGAGAGAGTTTGCCCTAAAATTATTATGATATTTATTTCTTATAAATAAATGAAATTGGTGTTGTATACATGAAATTGGGCAAGTATTGAAATAGATGATAGAATTGAGTAGGAGATACGTGTCACCTTTGGATGTTTTGAATAAATTATCTGTCTTGAGATTGTATATCTGTTTAGAAATATTTGTATTGGGCTATCGGCGAAAGATAGTTATGATTGTTGTAGAAATTGCATGAGGAATAAATGAATTAAAACTAATCCATGGATGGTTATCATTGAATATGATCATGTTGTAAATACATTGTATATGTATGATTATTTGGGAGGAGAAAGAATGTACTCCATATGTGATTATGTGTTTAAATATATTGTAAATGTATGACTGTTTGGGAGGAGAAATGGGATGAACTCCATTATAATTAAGTTGGTCAGAGTGTCCTGGATGAAAGTTCCGAAATTTATACATGGGTGTCGATCGGGTGGACGAAATATCCGTAAAATGGCAGGATTCAAGTGTTGTGTGTTAATGGTGTGATTGTTGGATCATTGAGTTGTAGTCTCTTTTGGATTCTTGGAAAATAATGAAATTGGTGCATGTATTGAAGGGAAGTGAAATAAAATATAGACTTTGGTGTTCTATGACTGTACAAAATGTGAATATTGTATCTCTGGCCTTGTGTATGCACATCGTACTTATACCTTTGTTATATATTGTGTTAGATTATTCCTACTGGGCTGTGGCTCATTCTATTTGGGAAAAACATTTTCAAGTAGTGAGGGCATGCCTCCACTAAGGCAATAGTATTGGAGGGACTTCTTTTGGGAAAGCAAGAGCTTCTTTGTTTTGTTTCACTTTTTGTATAGCTTAGGGTTTAAATTGTATGAGCCAGTCTCATTTTTATTGTAATCAAGCCAAGACTTGGAAAGGTAAAAACCGACATGGCATTTATTTATGTTTAACTATTTTGTACTATTAACTCTATGAAATAAAAGAAAGTTACACTTTGATTTATGTAATTATCTATTTTTAATTCAATTGAATCTGTGGTTTTATTTTTCGGGCGTAACAATGTATAGCCAAAATCAATTGTGTTTTAATTGTGACCTAATAAATTGGTGGAAGTTATGAGCAATTATGATTAAAATTAGACTATTGCTACGCTATTTCCACTGGTAGATGATTTTTATGATGGTAAAAATTGTTGATTTTTGACCTCATTTTATTACACATTGCGTTTACAAAAACTGATTAGGTTTACCCTTACATTTTTAGAAAGAGGAGTGGGGTAAAATAACTTATTAAAAGACAAAATATATTAAAATAACTAATAAAATAAAATTTCATATTTAACCCATATTTATTTCACCTTTTATCTCACAACCATCAAATTAATTACCCAAAAAAAAAAAAAAAACTAGCTAACTAATTAACTAACTTTCTAAGCACAACTATTTTAGTTAGATCAAAATAGCCAAAAAAATCAAATAACTAACTAAAATAACCACCATTCCAAACAAGGCTATTGTGTTCAAAATTCTGTTTGACAACTATATTAAACAGTATCAAGAGCCTCTGATATATTACAATTATAAATTATTATTTTTAATTTTAGTCAGGGACTTTTGGTATCTTTATTTTACTTGCAAGCCAATGGAACAATAAGCGTAGATTTTATTTACATAATTACTGAAACTGATACAGATTGGGTGCACTCATCAGAGCTCAAATCGGCAAATCCCAAATACAACCGCCCCAAATTTTTTTCCATCAAAACAAACACTCTCTTCACACACACACAAACGCAACCAAAACTATTTTCCCAGAAAATCACAAATCGGCAAATTCCAAATCATAAACTATAGATAGAGTGATATCGCTCACTCGGGGGAGAGAGAGTGAGCGCTGGGCTTAGACGTCTTCGGTTCGCAATACAGGTAGGAGGAACCCATCGTAAAACTCGTTGTAGAGCACAAGGATGCAAGGGATTACACAAACTGAAATAGAAAGCCTTGAAGGTGCTAACACAGCATATGCCCCTGTAATGAATGCCAACAACATTGCAATCATAGCATTACAAGTATTACTACAAGCTAAAGTAAGTTGCTTCTTTAATACAATCGGGTCGTCGTAAAGCATAGTAGAGAGGTAGCCAAACACTGCACAAACGGAAAGTGTCAGGGCAATGGTATCTGTTATCACAAAAGCCACGAAAGCTGCTTTTCTTGTTAGAATTGCCATTCCTTGGTTCGGGTCTTTGTTATCATTAATGTACCCACCAGGCATGGTGATACCTGCTGTGAAGGTCACCGTTGCTATAAGTGAAGCCACTATCAAAATGGTTTCCTTCGATTTTGAGATGTTTGCGGGTACTGGGAGTCTTCCGAGACTTACGATGCTTCGCAGTCTACTACAACTATATCGAGTTTGCTGGAAGAACAAGAACAAAAACTAAAACTAAATTATAAACGTAAAAAAATGGTAAATGCTAGTGTTTGAAGTTTGACTACTCAAATTACCCTTTCATCTCTTTCAAATGGGTCCTGAAGAGTGTCCCAAGCTTCTTTCGCTTTTTTAGCCTCCTTGATTTTTGGAAAGATCCAGTCTGAGACGCCTTGCTGGATAAGAGAAAGCGCTGCAGCATCCTTCCGTTGTTTCTCCCCGTTGCGGTCGGTCTCACCATCGTACCCCTTCTCTACCGTATCCCACAAATCCATAGATAGAAACAGAGTTTTCATCTTCACTTTCCAAAACTGGTAGTTGTCACCATCAAAAATTGGAATTGTGGCCGCCATGGAGTTTTAAGGATTTTCTTTCTTCACCTTGCACCTGATATTGCTTCTACAAACCAACAACTTTGATACCAGATGGCAGCCTTTTGTGTAGGCCTATGTAAGTTGTTTCAGTATTAGAATTGAACAAAAACAACAAGAACTTGACCAGACTTTGGCCAGAAGAATAGAAGTAGATTTTTCAGCAGCAAAACATCAAGTATTTATAGATTGATTCTTCACAACTTGATGTCTTAAGGAGTGTACAAAATATCAAACCATAGAGATTAACTATAGTTTACAAAACTTAACCATAGAGATTAACTATAGTTTACAAAACTTAACCACATATATCTTTCAGCAGCGAAACATCAAGTATTGATAGATTGATTCTTCACAACTTGATGTCTTAAGAAGTGTACAAAATATCAAATCATAGAGATTAACTACAGTTTACAAAACTTAGCCTTGGTTTGGTTTTCATTGTAGGCTAAATAATCAGAAAAGACAAAAAAAAAAAAAAAACTACAAAATCACAAAAAGACAAAAAAGTTACAAAAGTACCAAACTACACTACAAGGAAAAATACATTTGGCCAAAAGTCAATTTTTAGTCGCCAAAAATTGGTTTTTTAGTTTCCCTGGCTAAATTTTTTAGTCACCGGTTTGGTTGCCAGAAAACTGTCGGGGAAGGTATTGGCGACTAAAAAACTTTTTGTCGCCAAAAAGAAAGTCTTTAGCGACCAAAACATTGGTCGCCAACAGTCAATTATATTTTTTAAATTATAAATTTACCGACTAATATTTTGGTCGCCAATAGTCAATTATATTTTTTAAATTATGCATTTACCGACTATTTTTTTAGTCGCCAATACTCAAAGCTTTTGGCGACTAAAAAACTTTTGTGGCCGGTTTGGTCGCCAGAAAATGGTCGGGGAAGGTATTGGCGACTAAAAAACTTTTTGTGGCCAAAAAAAGTGTTTTTAGCGACCAAAACATTGGTTGCCAACAGTTAATTATATTTTTTAAATTATACATTTACCGACTAATATTTTGGTCGCCAATAATCAATTATATTTTTTAAATTATACATTTACCGACTATTTTTTTAGTCGCCAATACTCAAAGCTTTTGGCGACTAAAAAACTTTTTGTCGTCAAAAACAAAGTCTTTAGCGACCAAAACATTGGTCGCCAACAGTCAATTATATTTTTTAAATTATACATTTACCGACTAATATTTTGGTCGCCAATAGTCAATTACATTTTTTTAAATTATACATTTACCGACTATTTTTTTAGTCGTCAATACTCAAAGCTTTTGGCGACTAAAAAACTTTTTGTCGTCAAAAACAAAGTCTTTAGCGACCAAAACATTGGTCGCCAACAGTCAATTATATTTTTTAAATTATACATTTACCGACTATTTTTTTAGTCGCCAATACTCAAAGCTTTTGGCGACTAAAAAACTTTTTGTCGTCAAAAACAAAGTCTTTAGCGACCAAAACATTGGTCGCCAACAGTCAATTATATTTTTTAAATTATACATTTACCGACTATTTTTTTAGTCGCCAATACTCAAAGCTTTTGGCGACTAAAAAACTTTTTGTCGTCAAAAACAAAGTCTTTAGCGACCAATTTTAGTCGCCAATTCTATACTTTTGGCTACTAATTATTTTTTAGTCGTTAAAAAATAAATTTTCCGCGCTAAAATTACCACTTTTGGTGACTAAACTTCTTTTTAGTCGCCAAAAAGCTCACTTTTGGCTACTAAACATGGTTTTAGTTGCCGAAAAGCTCACTTTTGGCTACTAAATTTTTTTTAGTCGCCAAAGGGCCTTACTTTTGGCTACTAAACATGTTTTTAGTAGCCAAATGCCTTACTTTAGGCTACTAAATTTTTTTAGTCGCCAAAGGTCCTTACTTTTGGCTACTAAAATTTTTTTAGTCGGTAAAAGCCATATATCGGCGACCAAATAGATTTTTAGTCGCCAATACCTATACATTTGGCTACTAAAACTTTTGGCTACTAATGCTTTTTTAGTCGCCGAAAATGCTACTTTCAGCGACCAAAGGGGTTTTTTTAGTCGCTAAAAATGCTTTTTCTTGTAGTGCTACCCCATATACAAACAAAAAGTCAAAAAAGCATCATTCTATACTAAGGGCAATTTTGTCATTCTAAAGTCAAAAAGTCAAAAAAGTCAAACAAGAATACCAAACGACTAAAAAAGTTTCAGGTTAAAAAAATCAAAAAAACCAAAAAATCAACTAAAAAAAGCTAAAACCAAACAACACCTTAGCCACATATATCTTTCAGTAGCAAAACATCAAGTATTTATAGATTGATTCTTCACAACTTGATGTCTTAAGAAGTGTACAAAATATCAAACCACAGAGATTAGCTATAGTTTACAAAACTTAACCACATATATCTATGGTTACAACTGTCATGCAGAAAAAGTTAATCACTGTCAAAATCAGATTGAGTTGAAGGGTAGATGTGATATGTATATGTACACACATTTTTATTTTATTTTTTCTTTTTAATAATGCTATCTAATTAAAAAATAATTTAAAAAGCAATCAAGAATAAAAAATGGCTTAAATTTAAATTTGGTTTCATATGCGTAGACATTTTATTTTGATCGGTCTTAAGATTTGAATTTCTTTTAAACATCGGTTGATGAAAATAAGAATATATTATTTCACAAAATTTTCAATAGAAAGATAGAATTTAAGCTTTAATTCCAACCTTTACCCGTTTTGGTCAAAATATCTTAAACTAATTTTAGTCTAAATTTTACATATTTGACCCGTTAAAATATATTTTATTAGTTTATTTATTTTAATTTTATAATTTTATATATTTTTATATATATTTTTATATATTCGTACATATATTTATACAAATAATATCTTTCATATATTATTATACAACAATGATTGAGACCTCCATTTTTTGGAGACCCCTATAACTTAGGGATGGCAGTCTGAACCCAACCCGACGAGGACCCGACCCCGAATTGAATGGTTATTCACCAAAAAAAATCCCCAACGGGCCAGGGATGGTATTCAAAAGTTCATCTCCGACGATATCCGGGCCGGGGACGGGGATAGATGTTTAAGCCCCAGACCCAGCCCGGCTGGCCCCCGATGTCGTCCCCGTCTCGTTTAGTCCTTGAGGTAAAATTACCGTTTTGTCCCTGGGTATATATATATATATTATATGCTTGTGTTTGTTTAGGGTTTGACACACTCAGCCTCTCACACTCACTCACATACACGGCGCTACTATGCTCCTCTCTCTCTCTCGCTCGCCGCTGGTTTGGTCTCCCCATCTCTCTTTCTCTCACCAGCGATCCTCCGTTACCACCGATTCTCCCTCACTACCGCTGCTGTTTAGCGTTTCGCCTCCCCCCCTCTCTCTCTCTCTCTCTCTCTCTCTCTCTCTCTCTCTCTCTCTTCTATGTATAGAGATACATATATATATATATGCAGGCTGAAATGTACATCATTGAGGCCGTTAATTGGAATCTCTTAACTTCACTTGCTGGTCAAAACTGTATATTTTATGTGTGTTGAGTGTCAATCAGGTTGTACATCGTTAGAGCATAAAATGAGCAAAAAGACAGAATTTGGGCAGAGTTGACTTTCCCGCACGTGCGTTGACACCTATTGGTGACCAAAGGCTTTTTTGGTCGCGGAAGATTACCCTTTGGCGACCAAAAAAAAAGTTGGTCACGGAAAGTATACCCTTTGGCGACCAAAAAAAAAAGTTGGTCGCGGAAAGTATGCTATTGGCGACCAAAGGCTTTTTTGGTCGCAGAAGATTACCCTTTGGCGACCAAAAAAAAAGTTGGTCACGGAAAGTATACCCTTTGGCGACCAAAAAAAAAAGTTGGTCGCGGAAAGTATACTATTGGCGACCAAAGGCTTTTTGGTCGCGGAAGATTTCCCTTTGGCGACCAAAAAAAAAAGTTGGTCGCGGAAAGTATACTATTGGCGACCAAAGGCTTTTTGGTCGCGGAAGATTTCCCTTTGGCGACCAAAAAAAAAAGTTGGTCGCGGAAAGTATACTATTGGCGACCAAAGGCTTTTTGGTCGCGGAAGATTACCCTTTGGCGACCAAAAAAAAAAGTTGGTCGCGGAAAGTATGCTATTGGCGACCAAAGGCTTTTTTGGTCGCGGAAGATCACCTTTTGGCGACTAAAAAAAAAAGTTGGTCGCGAAAAGTCTACTATTGGCGACCAGAGGCTTTTTTTGTCGCGGAAGATTACCCTTTGGCGACCAAAAAAAAAGTTGGTCGCCGAAAGTTATGGTGGGATAAATTTTAAAAAAAAATGATACTACAGTAATTACATCATATTTTTCTATTTAGGCATTAAAAGTTTTATAAAATAATATATAACCCAATTTTTATGGGTTATATATTTGTTTTGTCAAATATGAACAAGAAGTATGATATTGGCAGAGTGGCAGAGTGAATTAGGTGCATGGTGACTCCTTGGTCAGGAGTTCAAGTCCCAGGGAGCCCAAAAGAATTATTTTTTTTGGGTCAAGGCGTTGACTTTTGGCGACCGACTTGTCTTTGGTCGCTAAAAGTTTACTTTTGGCTAATATGAATTGGACTTTTCGCGACCAAAAAAGTTGGTCACGAATGGTCACTTTTAGCGACCAAAGGCTTTTTTGGTCGCAGAAAACTATCTGTGACGAGGCTTTAGCGACCAACTCGCGACCAACATATTTTGGTCGCGAAAAGGTTTTAGCGACCAAATATGGTACTTTTCGCGACCAAACATGTTCGTCACGGAAAGTGTTTTTTCTAGTAGTGTGTTGCCATTCCTACTACAACGCCCTTTGGATCTCTACCATTGATGGTGTGGGCCCCACATATATATGAATGAGTCTCACACATATATCAATGGTTGAGATTTAAAGCGGGTTACGAGAGTTTCCAAAAAATAAGATCTCAAGCATTTTCCATTATTATATTATAAAATAAATAGTAATTTTACTGTGTGGTGCACAGTTGCCTCTTTTGAGGACTATGAACCATAGTAGAGTACTTAACACGTAGTACACCATTTGATAGATCATGGGATGGTTTAATTACATCTCTTCCTACCATGCTAACACAAAAGTAGTACAAATATTTAACATAATAGAAAATATCATTCACTATTGTAGCAATTTGCCATTCAACGTTAAAGCATTTTTGTTAGAACATTCTCATTTGGCA